TACAACAATATTTAAACAGGTTCAATTAAAGTTATAACAATACCCACAAAAGACTGGCACTTATCACCCCCAAATAATACATGAGGTACCTGTTACTGAGTTTACTTATAATCTACATTATGTAACTCAATTGTTTATTGCTTTTGCAAATTAAGCCACAATGTGAGCTATCAAAATTGTGAGCCTGATATTAGAAGTGAGAGAAATAAATTTCATGGATAAGGATTGATATGAATTAACATCTACCAATGAAGCTTGAGATGGTTGGGACTCAAAATGTTCCTGGCCTTCTCAGCTTCTGAAGTCCTCCACAGTTTTAAAGGTTGTTGTCTTCACAGAGACCACAAAGCTACACTAGCATGTAGAACAAAGGGAGAAGAATGTAAGATTGTTCTACATGTCCATGTTACTTATTTGAGGGGAAATTGATGGAGATGTACATACAGGAGTAAATTGTACAAATTTACATTTATTTATTAATATTTCAGTATGTTTTCAGGAATGTGTGTTGTCAATAATGGCACATTTCTACTTAATGATTCCATTTACTATATAATTTTTACTGAACATTTTTAATAAAAACACTATTATCATATCTACTACCAAGTTTGAATTGTATACTAAAAGGAAATGTTAATAACATAAACACAATTTAAGTTGCTATTGGTAAAAAGGATGATACTATTAAAAAGCGTGCCTTTCCAACAATAGGAAAACTGCTTGGGAAAATGGAACACAATGAGTTTGTTATCATGAACTATTTTAATTTGATGTTTGAATTTTGTATGAGGCTTTAGTTATTCCAAACAGAGGGAAACCATATTATTGTTTGGTGTAGGAGGGTCTTCTGTCTATGTGTTATTTTCATTGGTTAAATAAAGAGACTGCCTTGGCCTAGTTGATAGGGCAAACTCAGGTAGGTGGGGAAGAACAGAATTCTGGGAGGAAGAAAGCAGAGTTAGAGAGTGCTGCCCTCCATGAAGCTGCCAGGTCAGACATGCTGAATCTTTCCCAGTAAGCCACTGCCTCATGGTGACATACAGATTATTAGAAATGGGTTGAATCAAGATGTGAGTTAGCCAATAAGAGGCTAGATATAATGGGCCAGGCATTGTTTAAATGAATACAATTTGTATGTTGTTATTTCAGGGTACAAGCTATCTGGGTGGGGGAATGCAGTCCTCTGCGTCTTCTAAGACAATTGTTTCACAATATGTTAAGATTCAATGCTTTCTACTTTTTTCTTTGATTAAACAGAGTTTTTCTTAAATGGGAAAGAATTTTATGTGTGTTTTAAAAAATAATATAGCCATACATTTTACAATAATTGTTGGCTTTTTGTATATAATTTCCTTTCCAATATTGGGTCATTGAATACCAATGATTAGCTTTCCATAGAAACATGAGATATTAAAGAATATAGAGACTCTCTGTTCCTACGTCCAGTGGAACAGGCAGATCTCTTATAGCCTCCCTCAGTACCACATCCCTTTCTCTTAGCCTTCAACTCCAAAAAACATTGCATGGAAACCTACCAATCACATAGGCCACGGAATCAGGTGGGCATATTTATACTTCCTATTCTCCTTCAATTTCAAGATCTCTTTCTTTTCCCCACCCCTGTACCAGCAGACTACCTGTTGAGGTCTATATTCCCTGTCTAACCACATTACCAAGGGACTTTTGGAAAACCTTGCTTTCCTCCTACCTGTGGACCCCTGAAAATTCCCCCTATTTGTTCATGACTATTCCTAATTGTCAGTTCCCAATGCCTAAAAGCAATGCTATCCAGAACCCCCAGTGGCCACATAAGGCACTATCACTGAAGCATTTGCTACCAGGCTAACCACAGCCACCACACTCGTCCAAGAACCAGAGAAGAAAACCAACTGAAAGGAACAAAACACTCACCCAACAAAGCCAAGAACAGGTATCAGCATCTAAAATTACAATCATCCCAAGCCAAGATGCTTTCACATTATTGTAAATACATAATCAATAACAGTCAGAAATATGTACTTTCTAATACATAGCAACTACTATAAAATAGGTACTGAGTAATGCAATATTGCTAGATCACAGAACAAAGATTTCAAAATAGTATTTATAAGCATTTGAGATCATTAAAGCAGGAGGGTACAAAGTCATCCATTTATAAAATATACATAAAATAAAGAGTGGAATAAAATGAAGAAAACAATTCAAGACATGAAAATGAAAAGAGAATTGATAAAGAAAAGCTAAACATAGGTAAAATGTGAAATGAAAAATTTAGGAACTACAACAAGAACTACAGGGACAAGATTCACCAAGAGAATACAAGAGATAGAAGAGAAATTTTTGACCTTGGAGACAACACAGGAAAAAAGCTACAACATTAAAAAATGCTAAAAATAAAATAAAATCAAGACACAAAACATGCAGCAAATTCAGGTCACTATTGAAATACCTGATTTAAAATAAAAGGAATAGAAAAAAAAAGAAGAAACCCATGTTTCTGTATGAAAGATTTCCACACTAGTCTAGAATGGAGTATAATAAAGGTTTGTTAATTGGGGGGTAAACTCACAGAATTTATCAGAGGGCAAAAAAGCAGAAAGAGTAGTAATCCATAGTCCTCTGCATGCATGGAGAACTGGAACCAAATACAGCAGCAAAGGGATACACACACGTTTTTTGTCTGCATGTATAGCACGTGAGACCATGCCCAAAACGCGCCAGTATCTTAAAGACTATTGACTGAAGGAGTTCCCATAGCTCCTCCCCCATTTTTCTAAATAAGAGAGTTCTGAGCCTAATATATAATTATATACAATAAGAACAAATATCAAGTATAGTAATTAGAATTACAACCAGCATAAACAACATCAAGCAAGAAACATATGCTAAATGTTTTAATAGTTATCCTATCCTGAAGAGTCTAATTCTTATATTTGAAATGACTTGGTAAAGTCATGAGAGGAAAGTAACTGTGACTATCTAGTCCTTGACCCCATCAAAGACCTGAGAATGGAAATAATATTACTTGAGTAAACAGGAAGTATATTCAAGTAACTTCCAAAAGTTGCAAAAAAAAATGACAGAGACAACCAGCTACCTGGGCAATCACCCAGTCTCATTTGCAATGTTGGGGCCACTAACTTTGGCTAAAGGCTAGCATAACTGACAGACCATGTTCAGTGGCAGGAATAATTTCAAAACCATCTTACCCTGTCTTGACAAGATTTGACAGTCTTTTTTCTTATATCCTGCTTCTCCTGTCCAGACACCATGCACTTTGTCAGTAGTGGATGCAAGGGGAGTTCTTGCCCAAAGGCCAGTTTGCCAAAAAGAAAACAAGCCCCAAATGGAGTGTTTTCAGTGCCCAACATTCTCTTGGGAATAGAGTAGTGCTGCTGGGTGCATTCGTGTCTCATGTCAACAGAATCTTATGTTATTTTAAATGCCATATTCTATAGTTTTTTGAAGTGGTTGAAGATTACTTATCTATGTGGAATAAGTCTCTCTGCATCTAAAGAACTTGATTAGTCTAATCATAAATATGACAAACATGGATGACTATTGGACCTATAATTCTTAATTATTATATAGATTAAAGACTAAGGTTTCACATTAAAATGTTAAACAATCTTTAAACAACTGTGCAGCAAATGAGGACAATGATCTCAAAATGTATGCAATGTAAAAGTATCTTGATCAGAGCTAGAAATGTATACTGCAATATGATAAATATATCCTAAAACTGCAACAATATACAAAACATTGTAAGCTGAGGTAGAAACATGCATCTATAGAATATGACAAAAATTTATATAGGTGCACAAATATTGCAAACAGAAATAGGAGCATATGCAATATAACAAATATAATTTGAATTTGCATCAATATACAAGAATCCATAAAAATGTAAATTGTCTATAAATATTAGCTCACAAGTATTCTCACTATTACTCACTATTATTATCAATGTGAGTAAATGCACACTAATCTACCTATTATTCCACCCAGTCCCCTATATTTTTCAAAAGAGATCCCTGAGCCTACTTAATTTCCACTCCCAACCCAACCTATATCACTTAAAATCAATCCCTAATAGATGTACCTAACCTTGAGAACAAACTTTTTGGGAGAAGGGATGCTGTCTTCTAGAATTACTTCCAGCTGTCATGGGAGTGATATTTTTTCTATGTGATATTGTAAAACTATAATGATGATTAATTTTCAAGATTACTCTCTTTTTTTTAAGTGACTCCAATTTAGAGAGCAGTCTGTCCCCCAGTCATCTTCCAACAGCACTCCTCCACACAACCCACCCAGCACATGGAAAGCTAGGGGCTCACTGCAGACCCCCAAACCCAGCAGCCCTTCTCTTGTACAAAGGCCAAAGGATTCTTCTCTCTCCTTGGCTGGGACTCAATCAGGTGGAACCTGCCCCGCCTTCTGCAGCCCTATTCCAGCAGTAGTAACAGGCAGGCAGTGGGAGTAGAGATTTTAATATCTTAAATCAGAGTGGGCCTGCCTTTCACTGCCAGGCCCCTTCTGGGGCTTCCTATCTTCGTATTGCCTGGAAGGCTGCCTGCAGCCAGGGCTTCCCTCATCTCCTAAGAAGGATCCAGCACCAGCCTGAGAAAGGAGGCAATAGCAGCTAAAGGAGTGAAAGGGGGGAGGAGAAAGAAGCGTGTGTAGGCGCATGTAGGTGTGTACTTATGTGTGAGAACACATGTAAAGTGTCAGGTTTATAGACCCTGGCCCAGAGACAGTCTAGGATGGAAAAGGAGGTAGGGCAAGAAACATCCTTTCTCCCTGGCACCGTGGGCTCACCCTGTCCCAGGGGTAGGTAGAATGGATTCTGTGGGAAGTATCCCTAAGTCCGAGCTTTCAGGACTTGAGCCCTGTGAGTCTGGTGGAGTGAGTGATCCAGTCTGTGGGACACTTGGTCTGTCTCCTTTTGAAAGTCCTGGAAAGGTGGGAGGTAAGAAGTGGAGGGAGACAGGTCTCTGCTAGAAGAACTTCACTCCTCGGCCATCACTGATAGTGATAATCTCTGCCTTGTGCTCCTGCTGTAGGGCCTGCAGAGCACGAAGTAGGGTTGCCTCACCCTGCCCATGGAACTCTTCGTCCTCTGTGTCTTCCCCACTGGTCAGTTCATACAGCGTAAACACAGAGTTGTTCTGGCCGCTCCTGGAAACCCATTGATAAATGAGTTTCCCCCGTTCTTCTGGCCTCCGCCACATGATCAGGAAGCTAGTCTTATTCTTATACAACCACTCGAGGTTCCCTTTCTTTCTTAGCTCCTCTAATACAATCTGGATTGACTCCACAGGAAGTTTTCGCTGTAGCTTGACGTTGAAGAGCGGGCTCTCCTGGGCTTCCATCACCATCATGCTGGACTGTTTGTGCAAGTGGCAGAAGGACAGAACCAGAGAGCACCAGGCGGCCAGCTGCTTCTGCTGAGTGTCCACGTTCAGCTGTAACGTAAAGAAGGGCGGGAAGCGGTACTGCCACGGCCACTTGAAACTCATTGTCATCGTAGTAGCCCAGAAAACCCGGAACCTCAAGATTACTCTCTTGCTTAATTGCAAGTAGTCTCTGAGTAGTCAGTAGGGTTTTTCTGAAGTTCTTATTTGAAGTTCTCCCCAGAACATTGTAAGAAGGTGCACCATCTCAGCCAGCTAAGTTGAAACACTCTTGAGCAGCTTGTAACACAAAAGTGATCTTAAAGTACTGCTATCAGCATCATGACATCATATCCGTTATTAATGAAATTAATTCCTTATCATCTGGTATAAATTCAGTGGTTTTATTTAGTATGCAAAATAACTATTTCTGCATATTGCAAATCAGAAACTATATTGAGAGGTTATTTAAAATCCCTTAGTACCATTAGAATATCGTATAATTCTCTCCTTTGGACAGAATTACAAGGGTTTTGTTCTATTTGACTTAAATCTTCTGAATTGTAACATGCTTTTCCTGATTTAATTGATTCAGTATAGAATGTATGGGCTCTAGTTATTGGTGTGTCACATACAATGCAGGAAAGGATCCAAGCAGTGCTCTTTATAACGTTAATTCTATTGCTTTTGGGAAAGTTGAGAATAATCTCTCCTAAAAATAATCAGCAAAAGTTTTTTACCAGGGTTCAATTGTTTTCCCATAATATTTTAAATTCATCACTAGTAAAAGGCAATATAATCTGTGCCTGGTCTTTTCCTGCTAATTGACAAAGTCTCATTTTTCCATTTATAATTAATTCAGAGACTTTTTTCATGTAAGTTTATAATTTTTTATTTGGTTTATGTGGTAAAAAGATCCATACTAAGATAATATCTTCCCTCTGCTTTAAAATTCCTATAGAGGAAATTTTGGAGGGGAATATGACTAAGAATGCAGGTAAAATTTGGATCCTTGCAAGCCATATGAGCCTTCCTTCTATAATTTCTCTTCAATCAAAGTCAACTCTTTCTCAGCTTCAGCTTTTAATTCCCTAGAACTATTTAAATCTTTGTCAACATCTGAGGTTTTCTTTTTTTATTGAGAAAAGGAAAAAGAAGTTTCACCCCCTCCCAGCCTCCCATTTCCCTCCCCCTCCTCCCACCCTTCTTCCCCTCCTCCACTCCTCTCCCCCTCCCTCTCCAGTCCAAAGCGTATTCTCTCTCTGCTGTTTGATTAGTTTATAGGTGTTTATCAATCTTGTTAATTTTCTCCAGGAACCAGCTTTTTGTATCATTGATTCTTTGGATTGTTTTCTGTGTTTCTATTTTGTTGATTTCAGCCCTTAGTTTGATTATTTCCAGTCTTCTACTTCTTCTAGGTGAGTCTGCTTCTTTTTTCTAGAGCTTTCAGGTGGGCTGTTAAGTCTCCAATTTGTAGTTTCTCTGTTTTCTTTAAGTGGGCACTTAGTGTGAAGAACTTTCCTCTTAGCACTGCTTTCATAGTGTCCCATAGGTTTGAGTATGTTGTTTCTTTATTTTCATTGAATTCAAGGAAGACTTTAATTTCTTTCTTTATTTCTTCCTTAATCCAGGTATGGTTCAGTAGTTGACTGTTTAGTTTCCGTGAGTTTGTAGGCTTTCTGGGGGTAGAATTGTTGTTGAATTCTTACTTTAATCCATGGTGATCTGATAAGACACAGGTGGTTACTAATAATTATTTGTAACTGTGGAAGTTTGCTTTGTTACCGAGTATGTGGTCATTTTTTGAGAAGGTTCCATGAGCTGCAGAGAAGAAGGTATATTCTTTCTTCTTTGGGTGGAATATTCTATAGATGTCTGTTAAGTCCATTTGATTCAGTACCACCATTAATTTTCTTATTTCCCTGTTAGGTTTCTGTCTGATTGATCTATTCATTGGTGAGAGACAAGTGTTGAAGTTTACTATTAGTGTGTGTGGTTTGATGACTGCCTTGAGTTTTAGTAATATTTCTTTTACGTACGTGGGTGCTTTTATATTAGGGGCATAGGTATTCAGGATAGAGACTTCTTCCTGATGAATTGTTCCTGTTATGAGTATGAAATATCCCTCTCCATATCTTCTGATTGATATAAGTTTGAAGTCACTTTTTTAGAAATTAGTATAGTCAACCTGCTTTTTTCTTAGGTCCATTTGCTTAATAAGCCTTTTCCCAGCCCTTTACTCTGAGTAGGTGCCTGTCTTTGTGGTTGAGGTGTGTTTCTTGTAAACAGCAGAATGTTGGATCCTGTTTTCGTATTCAATCTCTTAGCCTGTGCCTTTTAATTTTTATTTTTTTTATTAATTTTTTTATTGAGAAAAGGAAAAAAATAGTAACCGCCCCCTCCCAACGTCCCATTTCCCTCCTACCCCTCCCACCTTTCTCACCCTCCCCCCAAACACCTCTCCCTCTGCCTCTCCAGTCCAAAGAGCAGTCAGGGTTCCCTGCCTGTGGAAAGTCCAAGGTCCTCCCACTCCTTCCATGTCTAGGAAGGTGAACATCCAAACTGGCTAGGTTCCAAAAAAGCCAGTACATGAAGTAGGATCAAAACCCCATGCCATTGTCCCTGGCTTCTCATCAGTCCTCATTGTTCGCCATGTTCAGAGAGTCCGGTTTTATCCCATGCTTTTTCAGTCACAGTCCAGCTGGCCTTGGTGAGCTCCCATTAGATCAGCCCCATAGTCTCAGTGGGTGGGTGCACCCCTCGTGGTCCTGACTTCCTTGCTCATCTTCTCCCTCCTTCTGCTCCACATTGGGACCTTGGGAGCTCAGTCCAGTGCTCCAGTGTGGGTCTCTGTCTCTATCTCCATCCATCACCAGATGAAGGTTCTATGGTAATATGCAAGATATTCATCAGTATTGCTATAGGATAGAGTCATTACAGGTTCCCTATTCTCAGCTGCCCAAGGGACTATCTGAGGACATTACCCTGGGTTCCTGTGAGCCACTCTATGGTCAAGTCTCTTGCCAACCCTAAGGTGGATCCCTTAACTAAGAATTGTGTTTCCGTGATCCCCTGTCCAACCTTCCTTTATCCCAATCCTCTTGTTTCCCCAAGTTCTCCCCCTCCTTCCCTTCTCACTTTTCTCTCCCCATCTCTCCTTACCCTCATCCCACCCCACCCTCAAGATCCCAATTTTCTCCCTGGCTATTTTGTCTACTTCCCATAGCCAAGAGGATAACTATATGTTTTTCCATTGGTTCACCTTCTTAATTAGCTTCTTTAGTATCACCAATTGTAGTCTCCGTGACCCTTATTTATGGTTAGACCAATTATGAGTGAGTACATCCCATGTTCATCTTTTTGTGTCTGGGATACCTCACTCAGGATACTGTTTTCTATTTCCATCCATTTGGATGCAAAATTTGAGAAGTCATTGTTTTTTACTGCAGCGTAGTATACTAATGTGTATATATTCCATACTTTCTTCATCCATTCTTCCATTGAAGGGCATCTAGGTTGTTTCCAGGTTCTGGCTATTACAAATAATACTGCTATGAACATAGATGAACAAATGCTTTTGTCATATGATCGGGCATCTCTTGGGTATATTCCCAAGAGTGGCATTGCTGGGTCCAGGGGTAGGTTGATCCCGAATTTCCTGAGAAACTGAAACACTATTTCCAAAGTGGTTACACAAGTTTTTATTCCCACCAGCAATGGATAAGGGAACCCCTTCCTCCACAACTTCTCCAGCAGAGGCTATCATTGGTGTTTTTGACTTTATCCATACTGACAGGTGTAAGATGATATCCCAAAGTTGTTTTGATTTGCATTTCCCTGATTGCTAAGGAAGTTGAGCATGACCTTAAGTGTCGTTTGGCAAATTGAACTTCTTCTGTTGAGAATTCTCTGTTCAGTTCAGTGCCCCATTTTTTTTATTGGGTTAATCAGCATTTTAAAATCTAGTTTCTTGAGTTCTCTATATGTTTTGGATATCAGACCTTTGTCTGTTGCGGGGTTGTTTCAGATCTTCTCCCAGTCAGTAGGTTGCCTTTTTGTCTTAGTGATGGTGTCCTTTGCTTTACAGAAGCTTCTCAGTTTTAGTAGGTCCCATTTATTCAATGTTGCCCTTAAAGTCTGTGCTGCTGGGGTTATACCTAGGAAGCAATCGCTTGTGCTCATATGTTGTAGGGTACTTCCCACTTTCTCTTCTATCAGGTTTAGTGTGTTTGAGCTGATATTGAGGTCTTTAATCCATTTGGACTTGAGTTTTGTGCATGGTGATAGATATGGGTCTATTTTCTTTCTTCTACAGGTTGACATCCAGTTGTGCCAGCACCATTTGTTGAAGATGCTTTCTTTCTTCCATCGAATACTTTTAGATTCTTTATCAAAACTCAGATGTTCATAGGTTTGTGGGTTAAAATCCGGGTCTTCTATATGATTCCATTCGTCAACTTCTCTGTTTTTATGCCAGTACCACACTGTTTTCATTACTGTAGCTCTGTAATAGAGTTTGAAGTCAGGGATGGTGATGCCTCCAGAAGATCCTTTATTGTGTAGGATTGTTTTGGCTATCCTGGGTTTTTTATTTTTCCATATGAAGTTGATTATTGTCCTCTCAAGATCTGTGAAGAATTTTGATGGGATCTTGATGGGAATTGCATTGAATCTATAAACTGCCTTTGGTAGAATTGCCATTATTACTATGTTGATCCTCCCAATCCACGAGCAAGGGAGGTCCTTCCATTTTCTGGTATCTTCTTCAATTTCTTTCTTCAATGCCTTAAAGTTCTTGTCAAATAGATCTTTCACTTCCTTGGTTAGAGTTACCCCAAGATATTTTATGCTGTTTGTGGCTATTGTGAAAGGTGAAGCTTCTCTGATTTCCCTCTCTGCTTCCATATCCTTTGTGTATAAGAGGGCGACTGATTTTTTGGAGTTGATCTTGTATCCTGCCACATTACTAAAGCTGTTTATCAGCTGTATAAGTTCTTTGGTGGAGTTTTGGGGGTCGCTTATGTACACTATCATATCATCTGCAAATAACGAAAGTTTCACTTCTTCCTTTCCAATTCGAATCCCCTTGATCCCATTATGTTGTCTTATTGCTATTGCTAGAACTTCAAGCA